AGCCTTTTTTGGCCCCACCTTTTTTCTTTTTTTTTTTACACCTAAGGTGGTTTTGATTAGATATATCGTAGATAAAAATTAAGCTATACACTTACTATCACATTCTCGGTTATAAAGTTATACAGATGAGCACGTCCAAGTGCATCATAACCTAATTATGTTCATTTGAACGTTAGATTAATCAAAATAGCCAATTTACGTCATAATTACAGACTTGCGTAAACGTGACGTCCTGTCACCTCATATAGTTAGGCTGTGTGAATATATTTCCAAAATTGTGCTACACGATGTGTCGTCATGGTTTACACGTTCCTGTCGAATTCATTCCACGTGTGTTCAGTTAGTGATAAGTCTGGTGACTATGGAGGTCTAACCTTGTTTTGTATACCATGTTTTAGACAACACCTTGTTTGTGATAACACCATGTTTTGAATAAAACGGTATTTTTGATAACACCATGTTTCTGACAATATTTTGTTTTGAATAACATCTCGTTTTGGTTAATACCTTGTTTTTGGATAAAAACATTTTGGATGACATCTTGTATTGAATAACACCATGTTTTGGACAACACCTTGTTTTTTTATAACATTTTCTTCTGAATAACATCTTGTTTATGGATAATACCATGTTTTGGATAACACCTTGTTTATGGGCCCCACAGTGGCACAGCGGTATGTCTGCGGACTTACAACGCTAGAATCCAGGTTTCCATATCCGTGGTGGGCAGAGCACAGATAGCCCATTGTGTAGCTTTGTGCTTAATCACAATCAAACAATCAAACCTTGTTTATGGATAATACCATGTTTTGGATAACGCCGTGTTTATGGATAATAACATATTTTAGATAACACTTTGTTGTTCTTTCCCTTCAGTGTGTGTTTCAAATCATTGTTCTATTTAAGGATGAAATCTTGGCCCATAATTCTAACACCAGAGGGCCCGGTATATCTATGTATAATATTTTAGTAATTCTCTTTATACATTAGATTCTTAATGGCCCGGCATGGCCAGGTGGTTAAGGCGCTCGACTCGCAATCTGAGGGTCGCGGGTTCGAATCCCCGTCACACCAAACATGCTC